GGAGTGGAGTCGTCGTCCGACGTCGTGTAGAGACAACGTGAATAGGTATCAAACTAGATATGTAAAATATTTGAAGAGGTTGGAAAAATCATGAGTTTTAAAGGGTTAAATGGTGTGCTTTTTTTGGAATTTGGGTTTCATTTAAGCTCCTTTGTTTTCAGGAAAGTTATTTCCTTTTATAAAGTAAATTGTGGGGAAAGTGAATTTCTAGAAAATGAATTATTTTTCGATGTTTGGTAGTGTTATTGATTGAAAACTTGTTATTCTCATAATCTAATTTTTAGTTCTTTTTAAATAAATAATATATAAAAAATAAATGAAAATAAAAATAAAAACGAATGAATAAAAAATAATTTGGGAATTGAGTTAAGATAATAAGAATGAAATTATAAATTTAAGAGTCAATTTAGTCAAAAATTAAAAGAATTAATAAGTTTATGGACTTAATTAAAATTTAATTTATTTAATTAATGCAATTAAGGGCTTAATTAAAAAAATACCAAAATTTGGGGCTGATTTGGTTCAAAAATGCAAAAAATTAAAGTCCAAGAACCAAAGTGCATAAGGTGTGATACCATAGGGGGGTTAATTGATTTTTTCAGGGGTAATTTTGAAATGCTTAAAAGTTGAAGACTTTTAATTAAACTTCGATTTATTTAATTAATGCAATCAAGGGCTTAATTAAAAAAATACCGAAATTTAGGGCTGATTTGGTTCAAAAATGCAAAAAATTAAAGTTCAAGAACCAAAGTGCATAAGGTGTGATACCATAGGGGGGTTAATTGATTTTTTCAGGGGTAATTTTGAAATGCTTAAAAGTTGAAGACTTTTAATTAAACTTTGATTTATTTAGTTGATGCAATCAAGGGTTTAATTGAAAAAATATCAAAATTTGGGGCTGATTTGGATTGAAAATGCAAGAAATTAAAGTTCAAGGACCAAAGTTCATAGGTAGTGATACCAATGGGGGTTAATTGATTTTTCTAGGGGTAATTGTGAAAGAATTAAAAGTTGAAGAGCCAATGAAGCTTAATTGATTAAATTGGAAACCAAGGACTGTTTGGTAAATGGCTCTGAAATACAGGGGTTCAATTGCAATTGATCCAGGGTAAAATTAAAAAAAAAAGATTTCTGTGAGGACCCAATTGCTAAATGTCAAACGTTTAGGGGCAAATTGGAAATCTGCATTTCACGTGAAAACGGCGCCCTTTCAAAACAAACCATTCATCTCCTTCGTCCCACCGATTCAGCGGAAACTACAGCAGATCGTGGGTCGCGTCTCAGCTGCCCACAATCCCTCTCGCCTACAAGAAAAAGGAAACAAGCAGGAGGGGGAATAGAGAACGAGCAGGGGGAACGAAGCAAACACAGAGAGGACAGAACACAGGGGAACAGAACGAACAGGAGGACAGGGAGAGAGAAAGGGAAAGAAGACAGATACAAACGAAGAACGAATACAGAGAAAGTGAACGAAAACAGAGATAGATATGGAAGGGAAAAAAGACCAGAGAAGAAGATCAAGAACAGAGAGATAAAGAGAACCCAGGAGAACACAAAATAAACGAAGAAAGATTTCTGGGCTTTCTTCCAGGACTCCAGCAAAGGAATGTCTGTTGTCTCCTAAACAACAGATCACCTAACCACCCAAAAACAAAGGAAACAGAGACGGACACAAACAGAGACAGAGAGAATAAGAAAAGCAAAAAGAAACCAAGCAAGGAAAAGCAAGACAAGAAGAGAATCACCAAAAAAAAAAAGCAGAGGAGAAGAAAGTAGCTTCGGCTAGCCAGAACACCTTCGCCACCATCTCGTCCCCAAGCGTTCCAGCATCCAGCACCAGGTAAGCTGCGTTTTCCCTCCCCTTACATTTTAATTACCTTGTTGCTGTTCACGCGCGCCTGCAGATAAAAAAAATACGGGGTTACTGGTTTGGGCCAGTTGGCCAGTAACCGGTTAGCCTGCTGGATCCAGCCCATATGAGTCTTGCCACCCATATAATTCATCAGTAAGGCCGTAGAATACAATAAATAGTCCCCTTAAGCTGATTGAGAAAACAAACTTGTACGTGATTGAGAAAATCAAAGAGAGATATCCATTAATAATAATAACCATAAACTTACACCCAATTTTATTACAAGTAACCCTTTGAAGCAACATTTTAGTCTTAACTTCGTTAACTTAAATACCAACTTATTACACACTATATGTACCTATGGTAACTTAATTATTAGATAAGATTCTAAAATATAGTTTATATTATTTTATAATGCATATTTCAAATAAAAAATCTTTAAATTTAAAATTTATAAAACCCATATTATTATATATTTAATTTTTATTAAATAAATAAAAATAATAAAATTCTTGTAATCACTTAATAATCAAAACTATGATATTATATAAAAAAATTATCTCAATATAATAATTTAAATTATTAAAAAAAATATAATTTATATTATTTTTTAACATAAAATTATTACAAAAAAAAACAACTTAATAAATATCACTAAATTGAACAACCAAACATTCTGTAACACTCCATATATAACAAGGAAAAACCTGGATGCCACTTTAGTCTCCAATATTAATCAAGTCCAGCTTTTTTCCTTTTTCTTAAGACCGAGCATTTTCCCCCACCGTATGGCAAGGGACATAAAACGGTGCTCGAGCTTTCCTGGTTTTCTTGAGAATGTTGAATGTAGAGCCCATAAATGAGACGTACAGATTAAATTGCATTATTGCAAATACTAAGACTGGAAGGAATGCAGCAATGGAAAGGAGTAATGTTGTCAACTTTTTCTCTGACTGAATGAGTATCAAGATTGTGGCCCCAAAAGATAGCATGGTCGTTATCACAGCAAAGAAGAGGAATGTGAAGCCAGCAAGAAGTTTCCGAGGAAGAGAGATGTGAAATTCTTGTTGCTCAAATGGAGAGGTCAACAAAGACAGAAATACCACAAGCGAAGTCAAGGAGCTTGCTAAGGAAAGAACATCCGAGACAGTGAAAACCAGAAAATAGGGAGAGTTGATGAAGTTGGGCGTGCCATTATCATCAGAACCTCCGGGCACAGTATATGCAGCTGCAAAGACAACAGTAGCAACAAGTGCAGCTACTGTGGAACAAGACTGAGTCGTTTCCTTGATCCATTTTTGTGCATTTTCCAGTTGGTCCTTGTGACTCTCTTTGAAGAGCTCTTCTGCAGTCTTGCCTTCATCGTTCCGAAGCGTGACATAATGAGAAGGAATTACCTCGCGCACTTGCTGCAATAATCGGGAGATAAATATGACTGTTATATATATATATATAGACACACACACACACACGTATTACAGAAATGCTATTACTAGTGCAGATAATTTTTAATGTGAACAATATTTAATTTTTTCCCCCAGTAGTTGGTTCAGCCTGATGTCTTACGTAGGTTCGAGTTTTGTTATCGCTTTTGGAGAGGTGACATCTCTACGTTTCATTAGCATTCAAATTGAATTTTTTTACAGTTTAACGGTTTTTCTATAACCTTAATTGGATTGGATAACATGGTTGAAACATATTTTTTAACAGGATTTGTGCTCTTATACACCAAATGGATAATCTAGTATCAAGTCTATGAATAAATTTTATCCGGAGGTAAAGACAAAGGGATAAAAAGGGCTCACCTCAAACCATCGCAACTCCTCCTGAAGTTTAAGTGCAGGCCCAGGCTTGGTTCCTCCTCTGTAATGCTCCATATCTGCAACATGGTGCAACAATGTGTTGCCCGTATTATCAATAACTCGTCGCAGTCTAGCCAATGGTATTTTCTGATGCTTCACAAGTTTGAAGATCTTTTTCTGGCGATGGATGACGGCCACATCCAAAATGCTCTGACCCTTGTCATTGAGCTTCTCAACAGCATGGGGATATAGTTTTATTATCTCCCACACAATCTCTTCTATTCCATTTCTAGCTGCAATCAACAATGGGACTTCTTCTATTTCTATTTTTTCTATTTCTATTGCTTTGCTAGTGATTTCAGAAGTGTGCCCCAAATAAGAGAGCTCGTTCTCTCCCTTTTTAATTGCCCCCCCGCCCATTCCCTGCTCTGCTTCTTTTCCTTTATTTTGTTCTCCTTGCATAACTGTTGATGAGGGTGGACCAGTTTGTTTTACTTCTTGTCCTTCCTCTGTTATGCTGATGCTCCTCCATGACTCATCTTTCTTTATTAGGATTTTGACAAGTCGTAAAGCGAATACATTCGTTCTTTTCTGGTTCCAGAATCTTTCTAGCCTTGCTGGCCAATATCCTACATCATGTTCATGTGAAAAGGGAACGAAATTAAACATGGATGAGAGCTAGCCATTTTTATGAAGTAGAAAGAAATGTTCATAATAATAATAAAATGTGAAAAGATAGAGACATGCTAAAATTAGTTGAAGCACAATTAATTATCATATAGAAAACAAAACAACAGCAACATCTAAGTCATGCCGTTTGTCAATATTTATTGGATTTCTTACCAAAATATTTATTGACAATCTTCTATTCCATTTCTAGCTGCAATCAACAATGGGACTTCTTCTATTTCTATTGCTTTGCTAATGATTTCAGAAGTGTGCCCCAAATAAGAGAGCTCGTTCTCTCCCTTTTTAATTGCCCCCCCGCCCATTCCCTGCTCTGCTTCTTTTCCTTTATTTTGTTCTCCTTGCATAACTGTTGATGAGGGTGGACCAGTTTGTTTTACTTCTTGTCCTTCCTCTGTTATGCTGATGCTCCTCCATGACTCATCTTTCTTTATTAGGATTTTGACAAGTCGTAAAGCGAATACATTCGTTCTTTTCTGGTTCCAGAATCTTTCTAGCCTTGCTGGCCAATATCCTACATCATGTTCATGTGAAAAGGGAACGAAATTAAACATGGATGAGAGCTAGCCATTTTTATGAAGTAGAAAGAAATGTTCATAATAATAATAAAATGTGAAAAGATAGAGACATGCTAAAATTAGTTGAAGCACAATTAATTATCATATAGAAAACAAAACAACAGCAACATCTAAGTCATGCCGTTTGTCAATATTTATTGGATTTCTTACCAAAATATTTATTGACAAAAGAAACAAAATCTTGTATCGGTTACCCTCCAACAAAATGGATTTCACCCACTTTTGAAGCGCACTCCTTGACCCTCGAATCTCAGGTTGCTGTTGTTAATTTTCTATATGATAATCACCAAAATATCCAACGATGTACGATTAGATCTCCAAACTAAAAATTTATCGAATTAAGTATCTGACTTATTAATTAAACTTTTTCTTAACTAATTCTTTCTATCCACATCCATTAAATGGTTTTAATCGCAACAAAAACTCAATTAATTAACCTCTTGATTGTTAAGTTATTGAAGATGTAACATCAAATCCCATTTATCAAGCCTAAGGATTATGCAAGTAAAAAAACTCATTTCAATGTAAAAATTTAAACCATTAAATCAGATTTAATTTCATGAATTGTTTTATTTAAACTCACCAATACACTTTCGTGCGTAAGCGATAATTATGAGATCTAGCTCAATTAGTATTAGAACCACCAATCTCGCATAAATAAATAATATGAATAAATCATCCACCATGATATTTAAATCTTTTCAATGAAATATAAAAATAATTATCAATTAAGTTTAATATAGTGGATGATCGATCAAGTGAAGATCATAAAATCCAATTCGAATCACAAACCTCAAAAATAGGTTATAATTCCAGTCAGAATCACCAATCTCACATTATACTAATTCATTAACAAATGAAAATATACACATCTTTAAGAAAGTCCTTTAATCAAAGTCAATTTGTTAAACAAGAAAAATAAACACATAAAAAGAGACGGTTTGAAGAAAAAGTACCTTGAGGCAAAAATCTGCAACGTAATAGATTACTTATCATTTTTGACTCTGCAGACGGGAAATGTAACACTTGTAAAATTTGGAGGAAGGAACATAACATGTCAAAGTTTGTAGGATTTAAACCTTCCTTTAAAAAAAAAAACAAGAAGAAAGAAAGCGAACAGAGACTGACTACATGATTCAAGTATTTGGTCACGCCATGAAATTGAAAATTCTTATGATTCCTGATGAATTTCAACATGAATGAGATATATTCAAAATTCAAAATTGAGAAGTACAGAGATTGTGTCCAATACCATTGGGGACCTTTAAATTGTTGAGTAGGTTGCTGCGCAGAGTACCGCTCTCAAGATCTTTGGACCTTTAAATTGTTGAGTAGGTTGCTGCCCAGCGTACCGCTCTCAAGATCTTTCATTTCCCTGCACCAAGTTTGTGATTTTACCTCGTGATGACGTATAACAGGAAGGCCTGCAACATAATTTAGAGTTCAAATTAATTATAAATATGTATATGTATTTGCATTTGTCCATGGTATTCGATCAAGAAATATGCATGTAGGCAATACTGCAAGGTCTAATAATGTGGTTGGAGTAGGCATACAACTGTAGATGAGTCTTTCAAATATGCCCATGGGATATCCACTCTCAAAACCAGTTGGCATTTCGGCTAGAAGTTTCAGGGCCGTTCTGCCCATTTTGTCCTCCAAGTTGTGGAGCGATTCATCCAGTTCTAGCAGCAGCAAAGCTGTTTCTGCATTCATGAAATTAGGAATAGAAAATTTATACAATGTCTTATATATGTGTGTATACTTTTTAAAATTGAGAATTATATAAAGAGAGGAATAATTATTACCAAAGTGTTGCCCTATGATAGCAGCGCCGAGGATGGACAGGCCATCCTTCGATCGCTGGCGGTGAATTGATAATATGCAGCCATTATAATCCACGCATTCTTCTGGTTTGGACGCTATTAAAATCTCCACTATTTTTGCCTCACCAAATCCAGCAGCTGTAAACAATGGGGTTTCACCGAACTCATTTGGAATGGAAATTAGTTCTGGACAACGTTCTACCAAGAGCACTACGGCCTCATAATTCCCGTAGATGGTTGCCTCGTGAAGAACCGTATTTCCAAATTTGTTTTGTGTCTTTGGCAAAAAGAATTCTCTTCCCTCCATGATTTCAAATAAATCTTTAAGTGGTCGCTCTACGTTACTGTGCACAGCTAGATGAAGTCCAGAATCTAAAGAGAGCGTAACAGGAGAGTACAAAAAATCGAAATGATTCTTATAGTAGTCAATCATGCTTTGCCAGTCTCCATTCATGGCTGAAATGATTCTTTATAAGGTGTCTCCAGTATCATCTCAGAATCCATATTTGCTCTCTACATAAAATTATGCAAGTAACTATCGTTAATGAACAATCTCAACTCAAAGCTAATTAAATTGTTGGGTGAAATCATGTTTAGTACTGTTATGTTTTGTATTGTACATGATACTTTGTTGTTTTCTTTCTCTCTTTGTATAGTCACTATTTTACTGGCTATAAGAGATATTAATGAAGTTCTCGACTTGGAAAACAAAATTAGGAAGAAAGCAGTAAGCACTGAAAGAGAACTGTAAGTATATCTTACCTTTTAGTAATGGAAATGGTCGGACTGCTCCTCTACCTAGCTCTTGCTAAAATAAATGTCAACAAGAAAACTTGTTTTCGGAGAGATGACGATAAAGACACAACCTAGCTTGTAGTTTGGGAAACCTTTATATGCAATCCTTTAAAGAATGGTTCCATGTTAAAAAGAAAAAGGCAAGTTAGGATCTGTGCGTTGCTTGTTTAGTTTATAAAGTGAAACTATTATGAGAATATTATTATGAGAATATAATTAATGAAGCTCAATTTCTATTTATTTTTTTTATAAAAATGATGGAATCAAATATATTAATTTCTAATACATCCCTCTTTACTTTATTTACTTAGTCATTAAAAAACTTCAGCCTTGTAAAGTTTTATATTAAATTAGATTGCTGAAAAACTCAAGTCTTGCAATGTGTGGTCCATTGAATAATTTTTTTATATTCGTTTATATTTTTTATATTCATTTAATATGGGATATGATTGCTAACAAATGAGACTCTAAAAATTATATGATTTTATATTAACTTTCTAAAAATCATATATCACTTTATATGATTCAAATTCTTGCTTCTAAAATAGGCAAGCAAAAAAGAAAAAAGTAAATTATTACTTGTTATCTCCTTTTCTTTTGGAATAATCCTACTTTAATTGTTCTCAACTGCAGCAACAAGGAAAAGACAAGACACAAATAGAAAGAGATGTTGGCTTATTATAAAAGTAAATCAAATAAAAATTAGGCTATTTAATATATCCAATAGATCGATGCAAGTTTGTATAAAACTAGGTTTAAAGAATTGAATCCATTGCTTCAAATAAGAATTAGCTTTAGTATGCCAAATTATAATCTATATTATTCCATGTATAAAAACTCCTTGCATTATGATAAAATATTGTCCAATCCTTTTATCAATACTTTCCACTATTGAAACAAATCATCCAATAAATGAGTTATGCATTATGATAAAATATTTGTAATTGAAAAAGGTTGGTTGTAAAACCTTATATCATTATCTTTACTCAAAAACTTAAGTTTTTATATATATAATTTATAT